CTAACATGAAGCTTTCATATAATCTACCTGAATAGCTTCTGATTTACCTTCCTGTTCTATTAAACTCATAGGCTAAAGGACATTTTTTTCTACTCCACTATGTCACCAATAAGGTGACATCAATGTCAGTGTGCATGTTATATCCCAGTATAAGAATTCCAAAATTATTCCCATTTCTTAATACAAAAGAATTTTAACATCTCTTTATTTCCAACAATTACTCCTTTACCTTAAATATATTAAGAACCTATTGAAATTTTATCACTCTGCTAAAAACCTTCATTCATGCAATAATTTTGATATATGAAGACACAGATATTTTTCCAAAATTTTTATTTTGGTTGACAAATAAGAACTACAAATTCATCTCACATACACAGCATTTTTTCAAGAATACTTAAATTTACTTTTAGTGATATTCAATGAAACATACATTAATAAGTCACCATGTTACACAACAGTCTCCTGAACTAAATTCTATCCATTTTTGATTTTGTATTCTGTGGCCATCATCTAGTCTACCATAAACAGCAAACATTTTTAGAATATCAATGTTTTTACATTCTACATACATGTGAGAACATGCGGCACTTGTTTTTATGTGCTTGACTTATTTCATTGAATATGGATCACCGTTTCCATCCATGTTGTCACAAATATAAGATTTCAGATCATTTTTAATGGTTAAATATTACAGCACCAAATATACCAAATTTTATTTATTTATCCACTGACAAACAATGGTTTATTTCTGCATTCTGGTTACTATAACTAATGTTACAATCAACATGAAAATGCAGGTATCTCTTTTAACACACCACTGTTATTTCCTTTAGCTATATATTTCTATAATGTAATTGCTAGGTCATGGCAATTCTAACTTTAAATTTTTGAACAACCTACTATTTTCCATAATTGATCGAATCTACATTTCCTCTAACTGTGTGTAAGACTTGTTTGCTAAACAATCTCACCATAATCAACATTCATATTTTTATAATGACCACCCTAGCAGGTAGGAGATGGTATCTCAATGCTGCTTCAATTTGGATTTCTTAGGTGATTACAGAGATTAAGAATTTTCTCTGATGAATTTGAAGGCTAGGTGTGACGGTACACACCTTTAATCCCAGCACTCAGGAGGCAGAAGCAGGAAGCTTAAAGTCAGCCTGGTCTATAGTGAAAGTTCCAGGACATCTATAGCTACATAGAGAAAACCTACCTTGAAAAGCAAGACATAAATTAATTAATTGATAAGAATTGTTTTCTCTGATAAATTTGGAAGAAAGCAAGGAAAGGTATATGTGAGAGTTTGCAGGGAGTAGAGTGAAGGGAGAAATATAATCTCAGAATAAATTTTAACAATAAAAGATCATTTTTTAAATTTATCCTCTTTGCCATTTGTACTCCCTTTTTTTTCTTCCATGTGTGTGCCACAGTAGAACCTCACTTATCCTCATGAATGTAGCCCAATTCTACATTCACTCATTAGCATAGAGCTTATCAATTAGACTAGCCCCAGGAATCCTGCTATGACTTCATCTCCGCACTAAGATCATATGTGTACACTACCACACACTGCATTGTGTTATTAGCAGGTCCTTATGCTTGTTAGGCAAGTACTTTACCTACTGAGATATTTTCTACCTGCATTACTTCTTCAAAGGCAGCTATTTAAGTCCTCTGTCCACTTCTTCAATCAGTTATCTGACATACATACTTTACATGTTAATTCCTCAAGATGCAAATGCTTTCTTTCATTTCATAGGATATCTACCTGTTAATTATATCTTTTCATTTGCAGAGATCTTGTATGTTTGGTATAATCCCATTAATCTATTTTTTTTGTTGTAGTCATACAACAAAAAATTCACAAACACTAATATTAACAAGTTTTTCCTGCCTTCTTATAGTAGCTTACAGATGTAAAGGATATTAACTAAGTACATAATTTTATTCTTCTATTTATGCAAACCAAATTTTCTCAGGATCATCTACTGAACATATTCTTTCTTCTGCGAGAATGGTCAGCTGTCAAAGATCAGAATCCTTGACTTAGAGAGTAAGGCAATATGGTACCTGTAGTTAGACAAACTTGGATTTTGCTTTTCGTTGTTTTTGTTGTTTCCTTTTTCAGTTTTCGAAACAGGGCTTTTATGTGTAGCTCTGTCTGCCTAGGAACTTGCTCTGCAGACCAAGCTGGCCTTTAACTTAAAGAGATTTGTCTGTCTCTGCCCCCTGAGTACTGATTTAAAGGGATGCACCCCTATACCTGGCTAAGATAAATCCCACTTAATTATGGTGAATAATACTTGTGTGTTGTTTAATTCAGCTTGCTATTACTTTCTTAAGAATTTTTGTTACTAGTCTATAGAAGTAGAGTTTCTCTTTTGTTTTCATATCAAAGTAATAATTAACTCATAAAAATAGTTTGAAAACCTTCAAAATTTTTGATCAAGCTTGGAAAATATCATTATTAATTCTTCAAATGTTCAGTGGATTTCAGCAATGAAGACATTATGTCTGGGCTTTATCTAAAATGTGACTGAATTACACGTTAGGATCTTGTGACAGCAAAACCTTCTCAATCATTGCCATCTGATGCTAAAAGCAACATATCACTAACCATAGTCTGTCCTATCTATTCTGCTAATATTCACCCTAAAATATTACTCACTAGAAGCTACTGGAGAAATCTCTAAAAACTGCAAGCACTTTGAGGTTTCTAAACTCAGCTGGCCATTCAGTGTATAAAACTTGCAACATTTAATCTGCTTGTTTACCCCAACCCCTCCCTAGCTTTTGTAAATTTTTAGTATACTTAATCCCAACCAATTATTCTAATTGTAGTATTCCACAAAACACCATTAAAATTTTTTTCATGAAATGACACATGGGGAGCTGGCGATGGTGGTGCACATCTTTAATCCCAGCACTTGGTAGTTAGAGGCAGGTCAATCTCTGAGCTTGAATCCAGCCTGGTATAACATACATACATACATACATACATACATACATACATACATACAAAGAAAGAAAGATACACAAGGCAGGCATTTCTTCAGTGTCTGCCATATTTGGCAGCTATCTTAAGTATATAAAATAAACTTGTTTTCTTTTTAAGAATAAAATCAACAAAAATGCTATTTGGTTACAAAACTGTAATAAATTAAAATACTATTTCACATCCATTAGGATTACTATTATGCTCCAAAGAAATTTTAATACACCCGCCAAGTTGTAGAAAAATTATAATGCTTTTATTGTAGGTAATATGAATAAGATGCTATACCTACTGCTTAAAACAGCATGGTATAGTCTCAAAATATTAAACATAATTACCATGATATAATAATTACAATTCAGATATAGACCCAAAAGAATTTTGGATAAGGTCTCAAAGAATTGGCCCATGCTTATAGCAACATTATTCACAATTGCTAACATAGAAATACCCCATTAACAGATGAATAGATGGGCAGAATACAGCATATATAAGCAAGCAAAATTACTCAGCCTGAAAAAAAAAGGACATTGTAGTGTATCACACACATGAATGAACTTTGAAGATACTGTGTTTAGTAAAATAAGCCAATCATCAAGATCAAAAAAAAAACTGTTGTGACTACACTTACTTGAAGTAGTTAGAAGCACCAAAACTCAGACAAAAAGCAGAAATGTAGTTGCCAGCCACAGTGGGCATAAAAAGTCACTATTTAATGCATACAAAGTTTCAGCATTGTAAGAAACAAACAGTTCTGATGATAAATGCTCAAAAGCATTAATGATCACAATATCACTGAAATAGTAAAATTTTCTACATTTTATAGTTGTTTTAAAGTTACATGGTCATATAAATTTAAAGAATATATTTCATAGTCATTTCTTGGAATTCACAATGTACATAAACATTTAAAATGATGTGATCTGCTTTCAGTAAGGAAAACCTTGGCTATTTCAATTGCATCCTTAAACACAGCTCCACATATCTATCTTTACCTCCTTCTAATTTCAGAGTGTGTATAGTGTGCATTTGCACAGATATGTTAACACATGTGTAGGGATATATGTAGACATCAAAGGCTGACATATAGTGTCTTCATCAATTGCTCTTTATTTACTGAGGCACTCTTTTCACTATATTTCAAAGCTTGCCATTTCTGCCAATCTAGCAGCCACCTTGCCCCCCCACTCCAGTATTCACACTTGCAGGGCAGCTGCTATATTCACCAGTCACTGCCACAGTCTCTGGCCTGATCCCTTATCTCCACTTTTCATTCCTCAATTGTCAAATTTTGAAAAGGTCTCAATTCCCCACTCTTCCCTGTACTCAAGTGTCCTGCTTCAGAGCAGGACTCTGCCCAGGAAACTAGTCAAACTTCCAGCTGCTTAATTCCCAGTAACATTTCAAGACTGACCCTAGTTTTACCCAGTTATGCCAATTTTTTTATCTGCACTAGATTTCTATTGCAGTTTGGTACTTCTTTGTATTCCCACTGTAACCCAACTAAAATTCTACTTCAATAATTAAAGCTGTTTGTGCTCTTTCAGAGGGTAGAAACTAATTCTCAAGCATCTTTATTTCCAAAGCAAAGGACTTGATGACTTATATATAGAGTAAACAGAGGTCGTATTTAAACAATCTTGTTTTCGTTAGTTAAAAAATTAGTCAATAGCTGGCATTAAGATGGCTGAATCTTGTCATTTTCCTATTTATCCACAACTGCTAAGGACACAAAAACATAAGAATTCAGAATCACATGTGCAATTATCAACTTACCAGTAGACATCTAATGTTTTGCAGAGGAAGGAAGTATTTGGTAAGGGGAGAAGTACATGTTTTCCAATCTCTAGATATAACTTTAAATTTTTCTTCTTTTTTCTTAAATTATTTATTTTATTGGTTTATTTATTTATTTTTTTATTTTAACCCTGGAAGGTATTTAGAAATAAAGCAGTATAGGGCAACTTAAACATAGCCTGAACCAAATTATACTTACATTCGGCTAGCTTCAATGTCCTCAGACTGGGATTCTCCTGGTGATCTGTAAAATGTAATTAAGGACAAAGGTTAGTAAATTCGAAGAAGAAACAGAAATGTAAGTAGGGAAGATAAATTTGAAAATAAGATTTAAGTTCTAATGAAAGGGTGTTTTAAAAAATTTAAAAATGAGAAAACAAAGTGGTCAGATCAGATTGTCATAACACATTTAAGGACAAACTTTAAAAACCTTGATGCTTTTTTTAAAAAGAAATTGAAATCATTATACCTATATCAAATCAGTATAAGCCAAAATAATTTAAAAAGTCAAGCATGTATGAAAACAAAACCGTAACTTTCTGTCAAGTTGGGTTGCCTGCATTAACAAATTGGTATTCATAGTCTTGAAATTAAAGTATTACCAAACTGTAACCTGGGCAAACACACCAAAGTGTGGAATAACCACCTGATTTTGTAAGTAATGTCTTACTGAGACAGTCACGTGTATTGAAACACTGTCTATGTATACTGAAAAAGTAAGGTTAAGAAAGGTTAAGTACTTTCAAGAAAGACGAGGTTTCCCTCCAAACCTAAAATATTGCACAGGTCCCTTAAAAAATATCTGCCAGCTTCTGCTCTAGACAATTCAACTAAAACAGAGTAGTGTATGCAAATCTTAAGATATTTAAATGCTATGTAACATTCTAATCATAATTACTGTGGCCCAACAAGGAAATTAGATTTCCCTAAGAAACATTTATCTGTCATTAGCATGTATGTGGAGTATTATATTTGCTAGATACATATAAAATAGATTATATTTGCTGTAAGCTAGTTTCAGCTTTAATAGCTGGTATTTTCTTTATTTTTGTATATTAGCTAATATAGAAAATGCATACATCTAAAGAGTCAAGAAGCATCCCATTTTTATTGGGTTAGAACATAAGGCAATTTTCCCTTTTCCTAGCATGTGGTTAAAGAACAAATTCCAGAGCTGGGCACAGCAGTACTTTCCTGTACTCAGAAGGCTAAACTAAGATCATACTTATTTTGAGACCAGCCTAGACTAAATAGTGAGACATTGCATCACAAAAGTGAAATAAAATTTAAAACAAAAATCTGTTACTGTTAATTTTTATAAATACTTAATGTGTGCAAGAATCAACCTTTTTGTTTTGTTTTGTTTCGTTTTGTTTTTTTTTTTGAGATGTGGTTTTACTGTGTAGCTCTGGCTGTCTAGGAACTCATTTTGTACTCCAGGGTAATCTCGAACTCACAGAGATACCTTCCTTTGCCTCCTGAGTGCTGGAATTAAAAGTATGTACCACCACTGCCCAGCATGAGAGTCAATGTTCTAAAGGGAACTGATTTTAATACCTATTTCTAACACTTCAAATTCCCAAAATGGGTTAGAAAAAAAAAAGATTATGTTAAATTTTCAAATTGATAAAGGAGACTTGATTTGTGAATTTATCACTGACTTGAGACCCCAACTTAAACAGAAAAGTTTAGAAAAATGTTTATTTTGCCTCATGGTTATGGAAGTTATTTTTAACAAGGAACCTTAAGTTAGGGGCTGGAGAGGTGGCTCATTGGTTAAGAGCACTGGCTGCTCCCAGAGAATCAAGGTTTGACTCTGAGCACCCACACTAGTGCTCACAACCATCTGTAACTCCAATCCCAGGTCTGATGCCCTCTTCTGGCCTCTGTGGGCACCAGACACACATGTGGTACACGTATATACCTGTAAGCAAAACACTCATATACATAAAATAAATAAAATTTAAGATAAAAAAATCTTTAAAATTACTATATATATTTCTAGTGTCAAAAAAATCACTTCTTTGCTAGACCTTAAAATAACACTCACTGCAATTCATTTAGATTCCAAGACAGTAATATACAGGCACATAGAGAAGAGGGAAAAATTTAGGCACCCTTAATTAAAAGCAGATCCCAAAGCTCAAATATTTTAGATTTTTTTTGTAGTGTAATATATTTTCTGTCTAACAAGAAATTACATAGGAACTGGGGCTTGGTAGTGATAACAAATTCAACACTTCTCCACTCTCTCCCCACAGGGACCAAGCAAATCATCTGAGACATACCAGTCTCCACCAGCCGTAAATAAGTATCCAAAGATTGTTTCCAAACTTATATCCCATACAAAAGGGCTAGAAGAGCTAAAACATGATGATAACCCACATATACTAGCTAACTCATTTTTAAATGTGCCCCTCCGGGACGTAAGACTGTGAGGTAAAGTTGGCTTGCAAAGAAAAAAAAAAGTAAACTTGTTAGAAATTAGAAAGACTAATTAGAAATTTTTAAACAGCTAGAAAGCAAAATATTTGAAATGAACAGGGAAAGGAAAAAAATTTTTAAAGGTTGGGAAATGATGATGAGGAAAAAGTATAGAAAAATTTTAAGACAAGAGGAAGATGAGAAAAAAAACATATCTCAGGAAAACATTACAGAAATATTGCAAAGTTTCGAGAACCTAAAATGTGCTAGAGGAAATTTATTTTCAAATGACCAACTATAGTTATTTTCCCAATTTCTGTTCCCTAAACAGAATATGTGAACACCAGCGTCAGAATGCCAATAAAGTATTATATAAGTATCTAGAACTCTATTTAATGTTTGCATATATTAGAGTGAACTAAGACCACTAAGCCCAACGAATAATTTAAAACAACCCAATCCAGAAAGAACAGAGTGAAAAAGGATTCAAAGATTATCATCCTAAAATTATTCTTGGTCTCTTAGACATAGCATAGGCTGCTTTTATTCAAACTGCAGTTTTATTTTAGTTAAGAGAAAAAAGTAAAGATACACAACAGAAAAATGTTATTGATAATAATTATATACATCTGAATAATGTCTACTTCAACAGTATTCTAAGTAAGTTACTAAAAAGTACCCTAAAACTAGAATTAATTCTCAAAACTATGAGTATATACAACACCTACTAACAGTTCCAAAGCTGTACTTTGGTTCTTAAAAGAGCTTATTGTTTCTTTACTGCCAACAAATTGGAAATAAGAATACAATACATGGGTGTAATTTTAACCAAATCAAATGTAAAACCATCCAAAGTTAAAAAAAAAAAAAAAAAACTACTGACCCAAGTTATCCTAAAGTTTGCCAGAAAAATAAATAAATAGATGAAATTGGAAAGGGAAAACTGAAACACAACTAGTAACACTAGTGAGAAAAGTCTTAAAAGTATCAATTTTACCTATTAACTTGAATGACAGAAAATGATCACAAAACACCCAGTAATCTGAACAGTACAACATGAGCTAACAAACCACCCTTTGAAGGGTGTAAAGCTGCACCTAACTCCACTGTAACTCTCAAGGAGAAAAGGTAAACTAGTTTTACTAAAAGTACAACAGTTCTAGAGGCATTTAAACTTTTACCACAAAAAAAAGTACACTTAAAAATACTAATCAAGGCACTTTCCACGTAATTATTAAAATGTCTACAGTGTAATCTTCAAACGTTTTTGAGAAACACTTTCTTATTTATCTATATAGAAGAACAGGTTTTTGGTGACCACTTATCTTCATGAATGGAAAGGCAAGTAAGAAATTCACTGTAATAAATACCATAAAAAGAATATTAAATGGAGAAATAGCTCAATTCTTAGGTCCTCTATTCTTAGCAATATTCGGGCACATATTTCACTTTACAATGACAGCCTTTTAAAGACTGTAAAAATAACATTCAAAATTACCTTTTACAAGCTGTGGCCATTCGGTGACATCAGGGTGATAACAGCTTTGAGTCACTGATTAAAAACAGGTTGTCACACCAGTCTAGCTGCTAACTTGATCTGAACGTAGGCTTAATAATTCTAATAAATTAAACAAACCTTTAGTTAGAATACTAGCATAAACCCAATTCATTGTTCAAATCATAATCTTCAAGGCTTGAAATAGTTGTCAATATAAAATTTTTCAGTAGAATAATTAACATAGGAAAACATTTATGAACTATTTTCCAGTATACTGTTGTCTTAACTGATCTCTTCACTTGAGAAAATAAGGTACGTTCTCAATCCAAAACTTGAAAATGCTACAAAATCTAGAAGATTTTAGATCATCATGTCAACAACTCAAAGAATTAGATTTAGGGGTATTTTAGATTCTGCACTTTCAGATTAGATATGCTTAATCAGTAAAGTCTATGGAAACGTGCCAAAATCTAAAAAATTCTTAAATCTGAAACACATCTGGTCCCAGGCTTTTCTAAAAGTTAGTAATCTCTACTTTTCAATGTTTATATCAATGTTTATATGGTATACACAAAGTACAATGATCAACAGTATCCTTATGTTCCACTGACTTTAGGTCTATGTGATCAAAACAGACACTATAACAATAAGGACCCTCAGAGCGATTAACCGACTTGCCCAAGATTTTACATAATGTTGAAGGTAAGACTAAAACCAAGATTGACTACCCTTCTACTGATTATTAAAATTTTGTTATGCCTTAGTTTTGCTTTACGGACTTTTGAGATTTAAATATTTACAAATAAGCAGTGATTTAGGTATGGACTGTGGTAATAGTTAAAATGAACTGATTTAATAACAGGAGTCTTAAACTGATAGAGAAACCATCTACTAAACAGGCAAATTCTTGATGAAACAATTGCACATACACATATTCTATATTTTAGTAGAATCATCTAAAATTAACTTTATAACCCTTGGTGTATAAGAAAATGTTCATTCTCAATCCCATTAGACTCAATTCTATAAAATAATATGGCAAGATATGAATGTATATCCTTATTCTTTAAGTACCTTAACTCCTACATAAAGTTTTAACCAAATCTTTCTCAAATTTCACTGTACTCCTTAATCATGCTGTAATTCTGTCAAAATGTCTTATATCAGCAATCTATCAGTACTGAAGTATTATTTTATCCAGTTAGTTTCCCCACAAACATCTTCCACTGATCTAAACACACAGAACAAATTTGAATGAACTAAAAAAGAAAACGATTAGTAAGGCAAAGTTAACATCCTCAAACTGATAGCACAACAACGTAGCTAAAAGCATGAACCAGAACCCAATTTAAAAAAGGCATCTGAAAATCTCCAAGGAATTATAGAAACATTAATGTTTGAGCCCATATTTTGCTAGGGTTGGCCTGCGTACATAAGCAACTTAAGGAGATTCCAATAAGTAGGACTTATAATATCTATAAGAAATAACTCAATTTCCCTATCATAACAACATAGGCATCACTGAGATAGCAAGGAACAGAGGCAACAACATCCTTAAAATGAATGATGTGGTCTATGAGATAGTTCCCTTATGTTTCTCATGAGACTAATAGCTTATGTGAATTGAGAATATTCAAGTGAATCTAACTTCCAATTTAAAAACACAAAAATGACAAAAGTTAAAGTAAAATCAATTAATTCATTAAAGAATTACACACAATCTGAAGATTAAGTCAGGTAAGTACTCTCTTCTAGTCTCTTCTTTTCATGATGAGGTAGAGTGCTCAGCTGAACACTGGTTCCAAAGCCAACCTGAGATTCTACTGTTTGCTTGATCACTTACTACCTGGGAAATCTTGGGCAAGTTAGATTACTTCTCTAAACCTCAGTTACCTTACAGATAGAATTAAGACCATAATATGTCTTATGTATAATATGCTTACAAGTAAAAGAGATTCTTCACAGCCTAAAAGCCAAATCTATTTCCTTTACCTTCTTGTCCATATTACTTTATGTTCTCATAATACAGTAATCTACTATAAATTCTTTCAGCACCCCACTTATATCTTTCAGTCTACCTGGTAGCTTATTCAGCACCTAGCATGATGCTTTAAAAATGACAGGCGCTCAAATTTATTGAACGCATTTGTCATTATGCTAGCTATGACATTAAGATAATTCATGCAGTATGAATTTCAAAAAATAAAACAGAAACATACCATATTTCGCCAAACTTCTGAGGAGCTGGTGAATTCTAAAATCAGGCTCTTACAGATTTTTAACCTAAAATATAAAACACCTCACTCAATTCTTTTAACATAAACAACTGGATAGTCTTTCAGAAAAAAATACTGAAATTTATTATAAAATAAAAGCAAATCCACCTTCAGTAATACTTAAAAAGATCCAAAAATATATTGAAAGACAAATTACCCTATTCCTGTTACCAGGATAAGTATCAGGGTTGGTAAGCAGGCTGTGATCTGAATATTTTCATTTGGGAAAGCATGTTCCCATTTTCATGTACAAAGATAATGCTCCTCATTTCCTTAGCCTTTTTACAAATAAACTGAAGATAGATGAAAATTATTCTTGTATCTCAAATCCCTCCAGACACCTATAGTATTCTGCTTTCAGATAAATTCTCTATGTAAAACATCTGCTGCACTAAATCATAGACGCTTACGTACTGCTTCCTACAGTTGCAACCATGGCTAAGTCCTTTGTCCTCTCAGTATCTCAAGTGTTAAGCTATTGAATTAAAGAAAATGTATTAAAAGAAATAAATGCCTTCCTAACACATAACAGGGCCCCATTATACTGTGGCAGTACTTAAGTAAACCATTCCATGTCTATCATTAACTCTACAAATAAAAAGCAACAAAAACTCATTACAAAGCTTAAAGCAAGCTCTCCAATAATTTTTAAATTCTTATTTTATAATTCATTAATAACCTATCAGAAGTATTTTTCAGTTTTAAGGTCTTTTAATCTGTTCATCAATGAGAAAACCAAATCCCAAGGACTAAGAAACCTACCCAGTACAACAGGTTGAAGGAACAAAATAAATATATCTGCATATTATCTATAGGTAGAGTAGGCAGACAGATAGATGGTTAGATAAATGGACAGACAGATAGACTGACTGACTGATTTGAGACAGGGTCTCAGTATATGACTTTGGCTGTCCAGTAATTTGCTATGTAGATTAGGCTGGCCTTGAATTCATAGATTGCCTGATCCTGTCTCCAGAATGCTGGGATCAAAGGTGTGTGCCAACATGCCCTGCCTTGCTTTAAAACCAACACACTATTAAAAGTTTGGAGAGTTGAGCTTCAAGCTTCACAGAAACAAAACAAAACAAAAACCACTCACTTGTAGAAATCTATTAAAATATACCTATTAGGTGGGTATGGTGAAGTACATCTGTATCTCAGCATTGGGGAGGTAGAAGCAGCAAAGGGGATCAGAAATTCAAAGACAGATTTGTTTATGTAATAAGTGTAGAATAGTCTAAACTAAGAGAAACTGCCTCAAAAAAATAAATGAAAAAAAGAACGAAAGGAAGGAAGGAAGGAAGGGCGAACAAACAAACAAACTTGGGCTTCTCTGCAGTGATTCTGATTCAGTGCCATAAGAATGTATTAATTTGTATTATGAACACACTCCAACTGATGCATAGATTCCATTTACTTACTATCATAGCCATATATATTTTTAAGACCTTACCTCTGGCATTACAACCTCCAACTCCCAATTATCAAAGGTATAACATGATTTGAATATGGCAGCATATAAAGTAATTAAAATTAAAAATAATCTCAATTATCCCCCCCCCATAAAACCCCAAAAAGCAAAGCAAAAAACAAAAGAACAAACACGCAAAAATTAATTCTACTCTATACATCAGCCTATCACCAATCTCACTGTCCTAAGGTGGAGAAAAATCTCGTCCCATCATCTTCCCCTATTTCTACTTAACCTAAACACTACAAGTCTTCAAATTTTTCACTCAAAGCATGTCAGTAAGATTTTGAGTGCATGCTGGCAGCTGAAAACACCATGGCAAAGAAATTATACATGATCTCTTATGCTGTGAGGGAAATGAAGACAAAAAAAAATCTCACAATACATTATAATTACAATTCAGAGACAAAAACTATAAGGGAGATTCACTATTATAATAGAATACTGACTTGACCTGGGGAAAAGAGTCTCCACAAGAGATAAGATTTATCACATACTAAGCAAATCCTGTGACATAGTGGTAGGATTCGCAGTCCAATGACTCAAATCAGAAAAATTCAAATAATACTGTAGAATGTCTCCTCCCAAGTAAAATGTATTGCTCACTTACTGCTACCAATTCTACCTTCTGGTATGCCCCCACAATCGAACACTATCCTTAAGAATTCTTTTGATGGCCTTTAGTTACTTTCAGAACAAAGCTTAATCTTTCTATCACAACATTTAAAACTATGTAATCAAACCCTGCTTACACAATCTCTTCTTCCAGACTAGACAAAACATTAAGAGAGTATGTCAATCATTCACTTTTATACTTCCAATCCTTAAAAATGTTTACAAAATGAAATAGCTCATAGAAGAGAAAACTTGGGTGGCTTGCTTTGTACATAAGTACATGGCTAAGATTCAAACGTAAATCTGATTCTAAATACTATCCATGTCCATTTCTTTATAAAACATTCTACCTCATACTCAAGCCTGGAAATTTTAACTTTGAAATTATCTAATATTCCATCTTTAAAGCATCTATTGCTTCTTTTCCCCACAGTTACCAAGATTGTTGCAATATAGAGCTTTGTTATTTTAACTAGTTTCTTTCTTACACATTGACAGATTATCTTCCTAGAAATTAGAATTTGACCATCTCTCATATTAAAAAATACCTATGCCTTCTCAATGACAATAACATAAATGTCAAACCTTTTTTTGTATTAACTGAGGTCCTCGGCATGACCACACACAGTCATCCAAACATTGCCTATATATGATGACATCCTGAGATATCAGCCTCCTCGGGTTATTGACTCTATGATATATTAGAAATTCCCATGTCTGGTCTCAGTAATTTTGCTTCTCATGACATTTCTCTAGAAATGTTTCCCTGTGCTCTGTCATTTCCATTGCCTAATAATCTATCAAGGCCTATTTGAAGCAAAGCAAAGCAAACAAACAAACAAAACCCAAAACAACAACAAAAACTATTATTTCTAAACCTTTAGAGTATACCAAATGAACAATGACAATTAAAAAGACTGGAAGTAATGATAATAACAACAACAGTAATAGAGATATCAGAACCTTCACACATTATTAGTAAGATTATTTTTTAAAAATAGCCACTTTAAGAAGCATTTAAAAGTGCTTCTACTTTTGAATAATTACCCTATGGCCCAGCTGATTATACCTACATATATACTCAAGAGAATGATATATGTTCACAACAAAAACTGAAAACATATATTCACAACAACACTAACAACCAAAATTGGAAGCAACTCAATTACCTATCAGCTGATTGAACAGATAATCATCCATACAAAATGCTATGACAAGAAACAGATGCCACACACAAAAGGATATGGTATAATTCCTCCAAAGGAACTTGATAAACTGGTTTTACAGTATTGGGAAGAATAAAAGTCCAAGAAGAGCCAAGAGAATTCCAAAATTAAGTAGGGAGCCTTGGAACCCCAATTTTTATAACTGTCTATGAAGCTACTACAAATAAAATCACTGGCACCTAAGGCAAATCAAATGAAAAATAAAGCATTTGGGAGATGATACAAGTGACATTTGAAAAAATTGGGGGAAAATGTAACTCATGTTAGAACAACTAGCTTTTTATATTGTTCTTTTTTTAAAAAAAGATTTTATTTATTTATTATGTATACAACATTCTGCTTCCATGTACATCTGCACACCAGAAGAGGGCACCAGATCTCATAACGAATGGTTGTGAGCCACCATGTGGTTGCTGGGAATTGAACTCAGGACCTCTAAAAGAGCAGCCAGTGTTCTTAACCTCTAAGCCATCTCTCCAACCCCCATATTGTTCTTTTTTTTAAAAGAAATAATAACTCCTCTCTTCAAATGACCAAAATAAATGACCCATACCAAAAACCCTTAATTAATAATAGATAATATGAAAAGCAATTTCGCTTTTTAAAATTATAAAGCGTGACTTTCATATTATAAATTGAGAGTGAGACCTTATATCAAGACAGAATGCTACAGTAGACATAACATTCTATTTTATTATCCTGAAAGCATTCCTCTAATGCACTCTAAAGTAAAAAGGTTGGGTAAGACAGTTCTCCAAGAATTCAAGGCCAACTTGGGCTACCTAGCAAGCTCCACACCAGCCTGGTCTATGGTCTCAAAAGGCCAAAAACAGGGCAAAAAAAAAGTTGTTCGGGTCCTACACACACACACACACACACACACACACACACACACACCGCCCCACCGCCCCCAAGCCACCACAGACCCTCACACACACACACACACACACACACACACACACACACACACCGCGTGCCAGTTCTCAAGGTCCTTGTCAACATGAACTTTGTATATAGTATCTCAACCCTAACCTGTCTTTCTGTAAATTATAAGACACATAGAAAATTACTTAGCATACAACAGACCCTGGATTTCAATCCCCAGTCCCAAAAAGAAAAAATTTTTAATTTAAATATGTTAAAATGAAACATGCAGGAAAAAAAAAAATCCTGAAACTCATACCATTTTACCAACCACTCAGAGTTAAAGCAAACACAAAACAAGATGGCATTTGATAACATTATTTAAAATCTTGACAGTTCCAAGTGCGGGTAAAAAGATGGTACAACAAAAATGTTCCTGCACTGCTGTAAAGTATCTGCTGACAAATTCAATTTACTTAAGAATTTAGCCATATCTAATCAAGTTAAAGATATACCCTTTTCTCTAGGAACGTCATTTCTTTAATTTTCCCTGAAAATAACCCTGTACAAAGGAAATATTAAAAAACATCTCTGTAGCATTATTCCTAAGAACAACACAGGAAACAATCTAAAATATTCATAAGCAATAGGATACAATACTATTTAGATATCCATATAATGGAATACCACAGAGCAGTAAAAGAAAATATAACGGACCTGAATGTGTCTACATGTATGTATGTATGTATGTATGTATGTATGTATGTACGTATGTATATATCTCAAAAACATGACAAGAATTAAATCATGTAACCTGATGACAGGTATATACAAAACACATCTA